AAGTGTTCGACTTCAATCAACAAGTCTGCTCCTTTTGCAGATGCTTCTACGATGCCTGAGGATTAAATTGAAGTATTTTGGTGGATAGTGACTAGCACTGAAAACCAGAATTGACATTTCGTCTTATCTTGGGCTCGTCATCTGGATGTTCCTGTATTCCCCAGAGGGTAATGATGTTCCTACAAAATTACTTCAAGTTAATTCCCAGGCATCGTCAAACTATCCGCAAAAGGAGCCGACATGCCAACAGAAGCCGAACACTTCAGTTTAATTAATCCAAAAAAAAATCAAAATTGAATTAAAAATAAATGACTGACACCCGTTGCACAAGATGTGGCTGTCGTAGCCCAAGTAGTCCAGGGGATAACGCTTTGGCGCCTAAAATGATAGTCACTTGTCTCGAACATCAAGAGGAACACTGTGACTGACTGGGTAATTCAAAGGCATGCTTGTAACGAGTCCCAAAATGCGTGTACTGGGTTCCACTGCTAGGCACTATCACACAAGTTATACAGTGACATCATTTTTTTCATCAAATGCAGACATTTAAAATGTAAGCTAATCACCGTGTTTCATGACACACTGTGCTGCAGAACAAAATATACGAAACGTTGGGAAATCGCTAATACTTACCCAAAGTCATCAAACTAAACGTTCAGATTTTGTAAATAGGGCAGAAGAGAAACGATAAAGTTCGTATCACCACTTATTAAATATGTCGTACAACCTCAGGAAATGGAAGGACATTTACTCATTGACAACACTGAATTTCAGTGACGTATTCTTACAAATCAGCATGATTTTAAAATAAGGTATTGAACTTTAACTAAGCGGTTAAATGGTAACATGTGCAGTTCAAAACTAGACTGCCGTGTACTTTACCCTTTTTAGGATTATGGATAAAGAGTAAGACTCAGACTGGAAGAAAATAGTTGTAAAGGGATCCATGGTTTTAGTTGTTCTTACAGAAGACTTGTTTAGTGATGGGAATCAATAAACCATAGAAACATCTAACATTAAATACCGTAAGAATGTAAGCGTGGTGACTTGAAGTCTATAACAATTAACACAAATGTGATCATGGAATAAAAATAGAGTAAAATGTAAAAGGTGCAACAATCACACCCTCTTATAAATCTACAGATTGGGTGAGAAACGTTTTTGTCGGTAAACCCAACTTTCACATTATACATTGACGATGTAACTAATGTGAACATTTGTTTGAAATTTGCATCCTTCGACAACCGAAAACTATCCCGCATTCCGTCACCAAAAAAAGTAGTCTTCTAAGTTTCTCCGAACTGTTTTTAATGGGAAATATCTATCCAGTTGGTATTCTAAACACTGTCTAATTTAGTGCGGTCTGTAATTAATAAGAAACCATGGAATGGATCCATAGTGGTTCATTTTTATAGTGACAGAAACTCTTATTGGCATAGACACAGATAGGACCTCATTTTTATACCATATACATTTTAAACCTATTCCGACTACTTTGCTTTTATAGCATCACTATAAGTCTCGTACACTTCTAATGGTTCCATTTCATTTTTATTGATGTACTGTAATACAGCTGGAAGGGACGGTTTGGTAATGTTTTAGCCGAAATATATAAGAAAGTGCTCAACAAATTTTATCGGAATTAATTTTAAGCCAAAGTTAAAAGTGATGGATAACAGTCGTACGTCTTCTGTTAGCACCTAACTATTTAGGGAATGTCAGTAATCCTGTCATAAGAAAAATAATCTATTCTTGACTGAATTTAACTGGTGGATGGTGACTAGCAGTGGAATCATCATCACTCACTGGGGAATACAGGCACATCCAGATGGCGAGCCCAAGATAGGACGAAATGCCAATTCTGGTTTGCAGTGCTATTCACCATCCACCAGTTAAATTCTAATTAAATGCCAAGACATCGTCGAAGCATCTGCACAAGAAGCCAACAGACATGTCATCCTGAGACCGAGCACTTTGGTCCAATCAATCGACGGGAAAATCTCAAATTCAATTAAATATTACTGACTGAATTCAGCCAGTTTATAGTAAAATTTGACTTTCAGTGTGAGTTTCTTTTCGCTTAAGAGGAAAACATTGTAGGAATGGGGAAAAACTACTCTTAGTGGGAATGGAAGTGAAAGAAGAAAATGCTGAATTTAGTAACATTGTTATTTTAGCAATAAAACATCACCTTGCTGCCTTGTCGATAAATTTATAACGCAGTCTGATGATTTCAATCTGTTTGAATTATTTACTAAATATTACAGTAAATTCATTTTTTCTAAAGTTTGATTTCATATGAATGAAATACGCTTTTCATCAGCAGTAAGGAGCATAACTTTAAAAATACATGAACTGCTAACTGTTTGCTGATTAGGATCTCGAACAATTCCTTTACATGACCGTCATCTGAATGAGATAAGTTGACAGCTACATAGTTTATTCACAAAGTCTGGTTTTGAGTTGGAAACGACTTACTGATATCCATAGGTCAAAATAAGTTTAAGTATTGGTTTTTCTTTTCTTTATAGGGATTTAGTTCGATTAGTTGGAGGATTTGATCGTGAGCTGACATCAGCTAGAGAACCATTGGAAAAAACACCAATAGTTGAAAATTCACCTGGTGCTCACTAGCAACTGACCCTACTCAGGCAATGATCTGGGGTTCAGGAGAGGCAGTAAATCATCGGAGAAGACATTGCAAAGTGTTCGCACTATGTCATGAATTGGTAGAAGTTGGAATTCATGGGCTGTTCATTGGATCGGGTCTCAGTGGCCTAATGGTCTACGAGCCAGCTAGCCTTGTAACCAGAAGGTCCTGGGTTCCAACCCTCCAGCGTGGGTGCGTACTGATGGGTAATCTTACACTAGGGCGAAACAATCACATCATCCCGAACATTTCAGTCTTCTATTTAAATCCATTGATCTATAAGTCACATAAGAATGCATGGTATGAAAGTGTTTTAAAGTGATTACACTTGGCTAGTAATTTTGTATACATTTATGCTTTCATTTTTTTGTTCAACTCGATGAAAGATGAAGTTTTTACTACGCTGTGTGAGTGACTTTTCAACAGGCTGAAAAAGACCATAGATGTAAAAACAAAATGAACTGGCTGCGAGACTTTCAAGCGTTCGGGAATATATCTTTCACATTTAGGAGCCAAATATTCTAGCAGTGTTAGGATAACATTCGACACCAAACTACCAAATTATTAACAACATATAGTTCAGTATGTCAAACACTATAATTGCTGAGTAGTTCTAGCATTTCACATGATTTCTACAAGCATCCAGAGAAATACAACAAACGTAGGGTGCCTGTAGAATTCATAAGGTTCTTTTGTCGACTTCTGCTCCAACTGCAAACTATAACAACTAAGGTAAATTGTGTTTACTTGAAACTACATGGACAGATTAGTCATTGCGCACGAGTTCCACAGTTGATGACAGTCTTGCTTGATAAAGCTTTAAGCTATAGATTTTAAATGAAACTTAAATCATTGTAAACTGTTTAAGCAATCAAAATGTACAAAGAACTGATTAAACCATTGTGAGATAATGCTAAAAGACTTTCATCATATTCGACCTATGCATATTTCCAGTTGATTACTACTACGCTGTGTTAAAGTAATGGTTATATTCTTAGGAAATCAAATCCAGTCGGATACATTTACTTTATTTTTTCAAAGCGGAAATCTACTCAACAATAATTAGAATAACAAATATTTTTTCTCTTAGTTTTTAATATCCATGGGTTCAAAATAGGATAAGAAATGTTTTCTCAACATTTTGAAAACTTGTTTCTTTCATTGATATCGTCTTTTACCTATGCATCTGTATATATACGTATATAATACACTATCGCAGCATCAAAGAGTATGTTTCCTAAGTTGTATCACTAAAATTTCCAGTATCAGAAACAATCAAGAGATCTTAAACTAAGTGATGCAGAAACATTAAAGAGGTGGATACGTTTTTCAGCGTGCTTCTATTTTATTCAATGTATAACCTATTGCTTGTTCCTCATACTCGAAATTTTAAAGATACAATGTTGGAAACGTTGAATTTGTTGCTCGATAGTTTATATATATATATATATATATATATAATTCTGCAGCTGGAGAATATCAATGAAAAGAGTAACTCCTCGCCGAGCTCTTCTCCTATATTTTGAACACTAATTTTCTGTGATGGTGACAATTGATGTAATTATTTTAAACTGAGAAAAATCCATTGAAAGGATTCACTTATAGTATTGAAAGTAAAATGCATATTTTACTGTGCCACATTACTTTCTCTTTGACAACAAATTCGAGCTATGTTTTCAACTAGTTTAGTCCTCTTTTTTGCATCAGGTGGATTATTTTGTGCTTTTAGAGGTCAACATTGTTTCTTCAGATTATCGTAAAAACACTTGAATGAACATTCCTCTTTACATTATACTGTACGACAACCCAGTGACTTCATTTCCCCTAGCTAACTATCATGTGTTTGCCCAGGCATTGATTTCAGGCTGCTCGTGTACTTGCGGCGTTTGCTATATAACAAGTACTCACTGACTATTTGATTTTCGAAATAGCATTCTGGCTTACGAAGGATGAATTTTCAGACATTCTACAGGAGACTGAAACTTTCTTTAGATTAATATAATTCAAGTTGGAACCAAGGTCTCATTGAGGATTTGTAGGTTGAAAAGAATATCATCCACTGTTAAAAATTAGTGAAATGACCGCTTGGTTAGTAATATTCATTGTGCTGACTTGAATAAAGTGTGTCTGTTGCCAGATCTAGAGATTAGTGGTGCGCGTTCTGATAAGTTATGAACGCAGCAGGAAAGCATAAAATATAAAAAATCCTTCAAAAAGATATTAAATTATAAACATTCTTAGTTAGTGAGTTATTTTATGATACTGGAATTTCTACGTATGTTGCAATTCTCGAAGTTGTTAGTAATTCCAAATTTTTCCTAAAATAACTGTTTTCTTTATATTTTCGTAGGTAACATTGGATTTATTGAACACTGTTGGACCTAATCAATTGTGTTCCATACTGCATGAAGTAATTCATGAATTGTTTAGCACAAGCGTAAGAACCTGAATATTATTCTATGGAAATTTGTTTGTTAGTGATATGCAGCAGTATTCACTCAGTTAACTTTTCGAAAGCTTGTTTCATTTTATTTGTATGAACTTTCACTATCAGCTTCGCTTGATGAGTTTCATAGAATAGCTTTAATCAGAAAATACCATGTGTCCTGCATAGAATAACTGTGATTCACAACCCAAATAAAAGCTAGTGAACAGACAATATGAATTACATGGATATTAAGTACTGTCTAATCAGTTCTGTTTGCAGTTGACAGTTAGAAATGTGGTTAACGGCAATTATGACAGACTTTATGGCAGAGAATTATCTGCGCCAAACCTTTCCCTCTCTCCAGAAGAATAATCCTGTAAAGCCATTAAGCAAATATTATTCCATACCATCATAAGTGTTATGACGGTTACTTTACGCTGTTTATTATGTATTGTATGTAACGTTTGCTATCCTTTTCAATATCAATATTCATTTTTCTCTTCTGATTGTTTCACTCTGCTTTCTCATTGTGTCGTCATTTTCCGACTTTACTACAAAAATACTTTGCCTTACTTATGATATTACATTATTTGTTGAACAAATTATTTAATGATTAAGAGTGAACTGTTGGCACAGATAAATTATTGAGTTTTATATTACAGAGAATTATAAAGGGAATAAAGTATACGAACAGTCGATAGATGTCATATCATAAAATCACCAGTCTGACACAGATAAATGAAAGCATTATGTAAATAAATCTTTGATATATCTCTGACCTATCTCAGTGTATATGAAGGGAAACACCTCAGTAGACGATTATTGGTTGAACTGAGTAAAAAATGAAGGTTTTGGCTGATACACTCGGCGAAATGAAGGGTTATTAGCAGCGCCAGACTAAAATAGCTTTTGTAGTGTTTATATCACGTCAAACCAATTTAAGCTCACTTTCGATTAACATTTTTATTGACATACTACGAATTTTAGGTGTATGAGATTGACGTCACTCGTGATATCTGACAGACCTAAACGACATGTAGAATTATGAAATGATAAGAGATCCATATTCTCACAGTTTATTGAGAGAACTGGAGAGACAAACAGCCTAAGATGTAACTGCTTAGTGTTCTAAGAACGACACTGTTTATATTAGGTTTGTTTTTAGGTTTGACACTGCCACACAAATCCTGTTTAGACACATTCAAATGAAGCGTTTTCAACATGTAAAAAGCCATCTCTTTAGTACACGAACCCTGACTGTCTCACCTTTCTGTTATCGGCATGAACAATATTACTGTGGTGACGCAGGATTATTAGCTTGTTTGCGAGCTGGAGGAGAGAGGTAGGATAATCAATGCATTTTCAGAGGAACCTCTGGTCAGCATCAACACACAGTTTTCATTCGAATGGTCTAAAAATGAAAGCAGATTCCTTTAAATACGCATAGTTTCCCCACACAAACATGGTGAAGTCACTCAAGATTCACTTTTTAAATGCTGACTTCTCAGTATAAAAGAGGGAAATTGCATCTCTTATTCTACGGTTTCCTCATTTATTCACCTCCCAATTTTTATTTTTATCTACGGATTTAAAAGTGAACTGTTGTGTTAACTAACATTATTTTGGTATCAAGAAACAAACACTGAACTATTGAGCTTGACATGGAAAAAGTAACTTACGGCCTTTAAAAGCCGTAGCTCCATTGATGATTTCACTCTTATAGGTTATGATACAAGTTTTTTAGCTTTTGCGAATCTCCATTAGGATAAATTTGGATTCACAGAATGAATACTAAGCAGTGTTTCTTACTCAAATAAAGATTTTGAACTACTTGTCTGTCGTATCAATTAGTGTTTTCATTGTCTATGCATTCCCACCGAAATACCTGAGAAGTTTTATGCACTTTATTTACTTCATTATAAATTATTTAAATTAATCCCAGCGTGTTTAAGAAGATCAAAACAAGATTTTTCTGAAAGTTTCGCTGTGTAAGCCACAGCTTCTTCAGCAGATTTATTCGGATTTTTATTAATCATCAAAATATATAGCCAAAAATTTTTACAGAAATTGAAGTCACTTCATTTGAAGGTCATTTGTCCGTGAGCATTTGTACCAATAGAAATATGTAAGCAGTCATATATTTGTAATGACTAATGTCAAATTGTTATTGTGTATATTTTTCTATGGTTGATTTGTAAGGATTAGTTTTGTATGAGTGTGTGTGGGTTATTTGTCATATGGAAAGATGTCAATTCACATGTGAAAAACATCATAATACATTTTATAAAAGGTCATGGAGTCTCATAGAGTTTTTGTTGTTGCTTTCTCATCTGTCTTGCTTCATAAGAATTCGCCACATGGATGATAAGTCTATCGCTTCCTTCTTATTCACTGCATTCGATGTGGTTAAAATGTGCAAGGTTTAAGTGGTCAACCTTTCTTTATGTGAATGAAATCCTCTTCCTTTATTTATTGCCTAACTAATCACCTCTCACAACTTGTCTCTAGCTCTACCACATGCGTTGATAACCAACAATATCGATTTTAACAACAGCTTTTATAACAAGTGCATAGTACATACATATGAACTCTGATGAAGATTTCACCGGATAGTTGCAAAATAATTCAGCGCCGAGTCAGAAGCCGACATTTATGAAATAACATTTGTAAAATCTCAGCGAAATTGGAATGATTAATTCCAACGTTTCCGTCGGCAATCTTATCCGAAATTCTTCAGGAAAATTAATCGAAATTAAGATAACAGAGGTTTATATATAAAAGGAACATCTCTTGTTTTTAGAACTTTGTCCAATCATGAGTCATGAAACAGACATCAACATGTATAATAAACAAACATCTCTTATGTTTAAATTGTTTCTTCTGTCATATGAAACATGAAAGAGGTAACAACAGTTATAATAAACAAAAATCGTATGAACTGTGATCAAAATTTGACCTCAGACATTCAAAATTAGTCTACTTTTCTTAAAATATATGTGTATATGCAATATACAATGGTGTGTGTGTATGTGTGGGTGGGTGGAACAGTCATAAAATATTTGTTATGCTCTCCATAAGAAGACGTAGACAATCGGGAATTTGACTAAGTGTGACTAGTTGTTGATACATATCCAATTTTATTTATTAGTCAGGAATTGCCATGCATCAGCTAACATCACACCTCACGTCTGTTCAAACTGTCGGGATTCACACATGTGTGTAGGGCTTCTGCAGTCAGTCTTTCTTTATATGAAACAAAACCTTTCTGTAAAACCTTAGTCTTATCAAAGTTGATTTTGTGTCCCGTTTCTGTCGAGTGCAGTGCAATCGCTGAGTTGTTTTCTAGCTTCTTCAAGTCTGCAGAGGTCTTTGGGACCGACTTCATGCTCTTTCACTCTGATATTTACCTGTCTCGAAGTTTCTCCTGCATATATGTTGTCACAGTCCCCATAATTAATCTGACACACACAATTCCGTTGGTTTTCTTGTTCTATTTTATCCCTAAACTTCACCAGTGATCAGCGTAAGGTGTTAGTTAGATGCTGATGCCTGTTTTATGACTCATGATTAGACCGTGTTTTTAAAAACATGAAATGTTTCTTTTCTATATAAACCTCTGTTATGTTAATTTCGATTAATTTCCCTGAAGAAGTTCGGATCAGACTGCCGAAGGAAATGTTGGAATTACTCATTTCAATTTCACTGAGACTTTACAAATAGAATTTTATAAATGCATAACACATACTCTGTAAAATTATTGAACAAATTTGTACATGTCATATTACTTGAAAAGTGGTGATCAGCAGTCGTATCGTGGATGTACATTTTTTTCTGTATACTCATCCATGACAGCCACATGTTGGGAAGCGAGCATGAACTATTACTTCGAGAAGTTTCCGACTGTTAGTTTTACCAAACTGAAATGATAATAATTTAAAATGAAAAATACCTTAAATGAATGATTTAAATAATTTTCCTTATTTATGTGAAAACTTCTGAAAGTACTTAATTTCTCTTTCTTTTCTTCCAACGACCTCGTGAATATGTGAATTCGACAAAATATTCTTACATGTTTACGTGATTTCTTAAAATAGACTCTGTGTAGAATCTGAGCAGATTGCTGTAATATGCTTATTCACATTGAAACTGATGCATCCACCTTTATTATAAAGCAGTTATTCTTTCTATTAGTTCCCTTTCTCCATTCTTCATTTCTATAGAAAATAAAATTCGTAAAAAGAAATAACAGCCTCAATACCTTTTATTACATAATCTCTTGAGAAAATCCTTTGAGAAATTCAAATGAACTGTGATCAAGATTTGATCGAATAGTTCTAAAATAATTGGGAGAAGTAGGTATATGTAAGCACTATATTTGTGAAATCTCAGGAAAATTAAAATAAGTAATTCTAGCAGTTCCTTCGGCAAACTAGCCCGAACTTCTTCAGGGAAATTTGTCGAAATTTAAATTTAGATATAATTATGAAGGTCTTGGAAATGCCATGCAGACAATTCACACAGGAAAATTTTTATTAATGAAATCATCTCCAGAGGCTGTACAGTCGTATTTATATTCACTAAAGAATTTATAGCAGTCATTTATCGAGTAATAGGGTTGATATAATTACTTATAAGTGGCTTCGAAAGTAAAAGTAAATTACGTAATACTCAAAGGCACAAAAGAAAGAAAGCGCTGGAAATTTGATAAGGTTAAAATTGTTATTGAATGAGAATAAAGGCAGTTGAGTGTCCATTGAACAGGTATGAAGAGGATGAGAAAATGTACGAAAGAAGCTTGTGAGAGTGGTAATAGTGAAGCAATTATTAAAGTAAAAATAAACTAATCACTAAAAATAAAATAATAAAGTTACAGGGAATACTAATGAACAGGTTAAGACCATGATAAAGTAATAGGCTGGAAAACATTTGACTGCCTACAGAGTTCGGGGTTGAACTGACGAATTGCTAAAGCCTCTACCATACACAAATGCCGAGACCCGACGCACTAC